CTTTATCTTATGGATGGCAAGATGCAGAGATGGATGGATGGATGGATGATTAGATGATGGATGGCGTTATGAGTCTATCGAACATGAATCTTAGGACGAATGAATTTGTGCGAAGTGGAAGATGAAGGAGAATATGATAGGCAAAAGGGAATCATGGTGATGGTGTGTGAATATACTCGGTTTAGCTGAGTGATAAGGAGGGGAAGAAGATAAAGTGCTTACAGACAAAATGATATCTTGCTTTGAGGATGCGATAGATATTATTGGTCAATATTTAATCGCACTTCTCAATTGTGTGTTGGTGTTTCGAAGTGATCTATAAATGTACTTGATATGGGATGTTGCTATGTATTCTAGCTGGGCTTATTGCAATCATATTGCAGGTTGCAACTATGACGGGCGATTTAGTGAGTGGTTTTCTTGTTTGAGATTGAACAAAATTGTGAAGAGGTAGATATTCGAGGTGATCTAAATGATTGGGGAGGGGAGGAATGTATGACTATTGCGAGAGTAAAGATCTACTAACATTTCTCCTTATCAAGGTAAATTTGGGATGGGAGAAATTGTATGAGCAAGAATGTATTCTTTTCGTGTCGGAGGAAGGTAAAGGTTGCAAGGTGGAAATGTCGGCACGATACAGGCGGTATTCAATAGCGTCGATTGTGGAAATAACATTCTACAAAATGCAACATGTTGTCAAGGAACGAATCTAGCTGTCTATCTCGTGGAGAATTCAATTCGGAAGTCGGAAAATGAAGAATGGCTAGAGCTGTTCTTGTAGACTTGTTGACCGTTGGAACTAAATTCAAGAAGATAGATGCTAGTGTGTCTGTGGGGTAATTGTGGGGTATGACAGGGCTGATCCAAGGTTACTTGTGCTTTGTGTTCTTGAATATACATAGACATCTACCTATTTAGGCAGGTAGAGTAATTTTACATTTGTAAAGTAGGTACCTAGGTAGTGTTCAGGTGAGATGTCTACGTTGAAAATATCATAGCAAGACTATGCTTTATGGATTTGACTGTAGTTCTTTCCAATCAATTCTTTAGAGATGGAAAGTTTACATGTGTATAGGTACAGTGAGCTCAACTAGGATCCGCTAAATCCCGTTTTTTCACTTCGGGTACTGTAAACTTAAGAAGGTGTAGAACAGAGTGACTACTGTCTTTCTTTTGGCTAGCAAAATTCCTTATGATTGATAAACATATTTTAGAAGTATTCATCCTATCTCTGTGGTTGGAGTAGGTTTCAGCCCCTCTGGTTCCCTCTTTGTTGCTTTCTTCTTTTTGACGGGGTCTAAAATAATGTAGCGCGCTTATGCACCTTTTAGTTTCGCTTATTGACGACGACGACGATGACGACGACGATGATAATATAGAAGAGTGAGAGTACACAGCAGAAAACATAGCACTCCTGAAATCGAATGGCTTTGTTAAGAATAGTGTGTTTTACATTTGTATGAGGGTTTAACAGAAATGCACCAACACATCTTCTGCTGTCGTCTATAATTGTCGAATCGTCATAATTTGTATGTATTGTTTATATTGTATACGTGTAACCAATCCTATGTAGAGCGGTCTAGCATACCTCATTTGATACGCTTGTTGCCAGATCGACCATTTCTACTATTCAACCAAAGATGCAGCTGTCGAAGTATAATCCGCATATGCATTAATTTCCCAGTTACGGAGAATGTAGAAGATCAAGCAGGAGGTTTGCGTAGTCTTAGGCTTCATGGGGGTAAGTGTACCGAGTTGACAACGCGGAAGCACTCGTGTATAGCTATAATTTTATCGGCTTGGTCAAAGTGAGCCAGGACTTGGATACTTTGCTGTTTATTCAAGAAATCTGCTCGCATGTCGATAGGTAATTGTTTCAATGCCATTGCCTCGCTTGAACATATCAGAGTCAGATTCTATATGAACCTCCTACTTATGGAGTGAAGGAATTGATGCAACATTTTCAACGAATTTGTCTCATTTGGATAATGGAGGATAATCAAACCATGTCACTAATCCCCAATAACTGATTGAATAATTGCTAGAAGTCTGAGAAATACTCCATCGCTCACTCTTTCTTGTGATTTATACTCCAGATATGTATCACCATACTTCTCAGATGATTATTCTCAAATCATCGAATAAGTTATCCCAAAACCCTCCGCGGCTCGGACTAACAATTCAAATCTCTACATTCCTTAAGGAGGAAGTCCTGTAGTTACCAAGCGGCAAGATAAAGATGAATCTGAAGTTGATACCGAGATAGATAGAAGTATTGTTAAGAGACAGTCGAGAGGTAATTATCTCACTCGTTGAAGTCTGTTAGAATACTCATATCATAATTACCATTTCCCTTAGCACAAAGAAGCGATACTTAAACTAGAATAAAAATCGAGCTCCCAGAAATCCATAAACTCAGAATACTTAACCTAATGCAAACCTTCTTGGAAGGATATTCCGCAATCTAGACAGCTTTTAAAGCTTCATACTAATTTGCCTTCACAATGCACTTTCAAAGATGCGGAGTATCAATAGTCTACCGTTGTAACTTTGAACGGCTTCTTTATTACTCCAGTCTCAAAAACCTGTGAGCATACTAGGATTAGCTTGCGTTATCCTCGTGGATACGTATGAGCAAACAGATCTTACTATGTACCGCAAGCTCTTGCTGAATTTGCAGATCATCAGAGAGTCATCTGCTTGATTTAAGACTCCGCTCAAGTTGATTTCAGCAATGTAAGAATCATCGAGTTAGACTCGTACACTCCTCAGTAAAAGGTTTATTTTCTAGGGATTGACCTAGTCTGGGAATTTCGGCTATCTCTCCTTAAAGAGACATAGGCCAGATACTTATCTAGCAACGCATAAGAGCCCAGAGACAGTGAAGGATGTATATCAAATCGAAATATGCGAATTCATCAATTGTATCAAATTACTTAAGCCAGCCAGCAAGCGAGCAAGAACCTCTTTCAATACAGCGACTACGCGTAACGACATCACGCGGATAATACTCAAAGTACGAGGAATGAAATTGGAAAGTGCATGGTTAACGAGATATTTCTTTTCAAGACAAGGAGTTTGAGGTTGATGAGTGAGGAATGGGTTTAGAGATACGTGCTATCTATTATGTAAACATGAATAGTTTGCGGGTTGAGGGAGAAAAAGAAAGAATGCATGGAGATTACTGGTATTATGTTGTACAATTAGTACCCAGTTGGTTACAGTTATTTCTTTGTGGTTTATAAAGTACTTACCTACCTATCTGTCTTTCATACGAATAATCGAATCCGTGTGATAAAAAACTATCGTTACCTCTTACTCTTTTAAGAAAAAGAAATGCATTACTGATATGTTCTAAGAAAAGATACTCGACATACACATGTGTACACGATGGTCTCTGCTTCCAGCTCCCCTCGCAATCTTTCCAAGAGTAAAAAGAATCAAATCCGAATCGGATACTCGTAAATATTGCCTATACGAATAAACGAGCTCAAGTATTTTGAGTCCTTCGAGTGCTCAAACTACTTTATCTCCGACTACCTCGCTTACTCCCCTTTCTAGGTGCTTCAATCACTTCTCATTCCTCACTACTTGAATTCAAGATCGCAATTCACTCACAACTCAAACTCGCTTCTTTATCATAATCATGATTCTTCTTATTTCACCTCAACCTCATTCTCAACCTCGAGCGCAGCGAGCTACGGGGGTTTGGGGGCTGGCCCCCATCCACATTCATAGGTACTCATACCTTTTCATCCGTGATCAATTCTATTCATACTCATACCAATGATAACATTCCCTCTTCATCGAACCTTTAAATTTCAATCTCTCAAGTCTCTAATATTCAACATCCAATTTCAATATAGATACACTTACTCTCCCATTCTCCTTTTCCATATTTTCCCCCAATATCTTTGTCTATATGTATAATCACATCCACACACATTCTCCCCCTTCTCCTACCTAGATTTTCTTATCACAAAAGAATTCATCTTCAAAGTAATCCTCCCAAGGATCTCCCTCCCCCCCTCCTTTTAGTCAATCCATTAATCCATCAATCCATCTTTCAATTTCCTTATCTTCTCTCCTCAAATTCCTAAATCCCATAAGCCTTCAACATTCTACTTAAATATACAATCTATAATTATCATTCAAACATCCACATCCAGACTTGATATTAAGACATCAACACATCAACACATCAACACTCATCCACTAGATTTACCCCCCTCCCCTCTCTCCTCCAAATCCACACCACAAAATCACAAAACCACAAGCCTAAACCTTGCTTTTCCATCCTCATCCTCATCTTCATCCTCATCTTCATCCTCATCTTCATCCTCATCCTTAGCCTCTGCCTAATTAATTATCAATAATATCACTAACATCACTAACAATAATACTAACATCCTATTTCCCATTTTCCATTTTCCATTTTCCATTTTCCATTTCTCAATACATAATAGACGAGATGAGATAGATGAGATAGATGAGATAGATGAGATAGATGAGACGAGATACAGAAGTGAGAATGAGACTATACATGAAGCAAACCGAACCGAACCGAAACAAAGTAAAGTAAAGTAAAGTAAAGTAAAGTAAAGTAAAGTACAATAAAATAAAATAGAGTGAAACTTATTAATGGGGCGTTGAAAAGGTAAATTTGGATTTGATTTTGAACATGACGTGAACGTGAACAGAAACGTGAATTGAATATCTAATTACCTACGTATGTATTGGGTTTGGAGTGAATGATGATGAGTGATGGTACACATGATATCGTGCCGAGATACATCCATGTACGTAGAGGGATCGTGTACATAGAGGAATCTTACGTTCTCGTGTCATGTATTATGTGTTCATAGATAGAGTCAAATTGAAACAAAGTTCAACATCTCAATAACAGTAAAAAGCATTCAGAAAGTATTCAAGGTGGACCGTCAGTAACGTAAACAATACAAATCAAACACAAACATCACAAAGCAAGTAGACAAGATATAAGTTCATGTAATAGTTTTATTTTCCAGAGCAGTGAAATGCAATGTTACTAAGTACAGCGCCCATTCGCAATACCTATTTCCCCTAACCATCATCATTACGATCATCAGTTAAACCATTGAAACCATCACCAAAAGAGTATTTCCTTCCGTGAATTAGAAATCCCATATCAATCAATGAGCAAGTTCCTTGCATGTTGTAAAGTGAAGTGAAGAAAGAAATCAATCAATCCGTTCACTCATTTACAAAGCAGCAGCAAAGATGGCGGCACCACCGAAAAGAGCAGCAGCTCCCATAGCACCAGTTTGGATAGCAGCTCCACCAGTGGAAGTAGAGGTGACGGTTTGACCAGCAGAGTTGGTGGTGGTGACAACTGAACCAGCAGAGGTAGCACGGCTGCTGGCAGAAGAAGACAAGGAGGAAGTCTTGGAGCTCAAGCTGGATGCAAGAGAGCTAGAGACGGATGCGAGCGAAGAGGAAGCAGAGGAAGCGGCCGAGCCAGTGAGAGTTGCTGCGGAAGCTTGAGCGGCTGAGAGAGAAGATTCGGCTGAAGCTTGAGCAGAGTTGATGGAAGATTCGGCAGAGGAGACGACTGAAGAGAGAGAGGATGAGACGGAAGAGAGGGTAGATGAGAGGCCAGATGCGAGGGAAGCAGAGGACTCAGAAGCGGTAGAGGCGGAAGAGGCAGATGTCATAGATGCACTCGATGCGGAGTCAGTGGCGGAGCTGAGAAGAGTTCCAGCGCTGGCGGTAGCATCTGAGAGGATGGATTCAACAGAAGATTGACCCTAGGATATTATGTTAGTATCTCTGCACACGTATATATTATCGAATTGATGTATCAATCTTGCGATCTATATCCAAACGATGGAAGTAAAACATACCATGACAGCACCGGCCAAAGCCAAAACGACGATGTTCTTGAATTGCATATTTGCGGTTGATGGAATTAAACTTGTTTGTTTTGAAGAAGTATTGAGATGTAGAGAAGAAAGTAATAAAAGACTTTTGGGGTATCGAGTTGACTGAAAAGTTGTGAGAGTGTAAGAGTTTGAGATGTGAAGAAGAAGAAGAAAAGTCGATCAACAAACAGGAAGCCGAATTCTTATATAGCCCTCCCACCAACAGCACAAACGACCTTTCCATGTATACCAAGGTCTTCTCCCTAGGTAGGCACTTCCACTAGGTCATACTAGCCTCATCATTACTTCCAAGTTAATAAGTGGCTTAGTCCGATCCACTTTTCCAGCTTTATTGTCCTTCTACATGACTTTTGATTGGTTCGTGGAATTCCATGGAAAAGGAATTAGCTGTGATTTAAAATTCACGTCATTGCCGTGCCAGACTAACTTTAGTGGGTATTGACTAATCTCCTAGTTTCATGGCAAAGGCAGAGAGAGGTAGAGGCAGAGGCGAAAGTAAAAGCAATAGAGGAAAGGGTAAAGAATTGCATCGAATCAACTTGGAAGAATGGAGAGAGGAAAGTTTTCGTTGAAGGCTTCCCGCTTGTTCGGTTTGTTCGGTTTGTTCGGTTGGTACCTAGGTTGGTTGTATTTGAGATGTGAAGCTCGTATCATTGAGTATAATTGAGTATAATTTGAGTATAATTTGTATAAAATTTGCATAGCCATAGTTTATATAATCAAAGCATGTTAGTGTTCACGTAAACTTATTCCAATTCTTACTTGTTTTCCAACTACGAGGCAGATGCTATTTATTCACTTGAAGAAAGAGCGCGTAAAGATATCTCCCGCCGTTCTACTTTACCACGCAATCCTCCCGAGACCCATAGCGTGATTTAGTAGAAAGTTATTTTGGGTTTGTAGAGCGACTCTGAGAGAGTAGTATGTGACTACTATCTGAGCACGAGCATATGTACCTGCTCTACTATACTGGTTGCATACAGACACAACATAACATACCTCCCTACATGCCTCCGTAACGTTGTTCCTGCAGTGAAAACAAAACAAAACATCTATACGAAGGGACACCTGCCAACCTACCTCTCGCCCTCTTCTATCCACTATTCACGTGTTATGACAGCATAGACGTTTCCAATAGACAGTCACAACCGACAAATATGATGAAATCACTGAGACAACCCGCTTGGTCCAATTCCTCTGACATCCATCGTCATAACATGTATCATAACATATATCATAACATCACATCACATAATATGTCACCACAGACGATGCGGACATAATAACCCAGCGCACATATAGGTAGGGAGTGCCCGTCCCAGCGCATTCATCTCCCAACCACCGAAATGCGATGTCAACGAGAATGGAGAAAAGTAATTTGCCATCTTTCATGCTGAATCCTGATGAAGTATCGCTATCGCGCTTTCAATTTCCTAGTCACAATGTACCTCCCTAGTCCAGACCCTAGTAAGCACATTGTGATTGCACTAGAGAAAAAGAGAAAAAGAGTCCGGGGAGTCCGACGGTACGAGGTTAGTAGATGCATATATGTATATATATATATATATATGTATAAGTATGGTCTAGACAAGCGACTGACTGACCATTCTCGATCTGGGGCATCGAGACATCTGAGCATAAATTAGGTTTTTCTTCCATTTCACAAAAATATAAGCTTCAAGTAAAAAGTCCGAGAAATACCTAACTATATCTATCCAGCCAAATACATATATGTTATGCAACCCCTTCACAACAGCACAGCACCGCACAGCACAGCACATCCCATCAAACAAACACATCAAAGCCACCCTCCCAAATCAAAATCCTCAAAAAGTAAGTAAGCAAGCAACCAAGCTCGGCAAGCTGCCGTTATACCGAATTCACCAGCATCCACACTACCGCTCCGGAGATATCAACAAATCAGACCCACGTATTCCGTCTCGTTTTATGTAACGACATGCCATCCCTACTGCACATCATTTCTTGGCGAAGGGTGAAGGTGTTGAGCCTGCATGTGTACCTTGCTCGCCTCATGAAGATTACCACATCATATCACACCACATCACATCACCTCTTGTATTTCCATCTTCTCTCTTTCTCTACTCTCCGAGGGAATGGAAAGAAATCCAAGTGAATCAATGACATTAGAGTAAAGCAGAGGAAGGAAAACTAACATCTATAAATCTCCCCTACCTACTCCTCCCTCCTCCAAACATCAAATCAACCCAAACATCACCCCAACCAACCAACCAACCAACCAACCAACCAAACACCCAAAGTCAACTTAAACTTTTAAGTATTGACCTCCCCCCGTCCATCCAACCGCGATCCCCGATCCCCGCACTTGGCATATCTCCTAGCTTCCCTTCCCTTCCCTTCCCTTTCCTTTTCTTTCCTTCCCAGCCCCAGCCACAGCCCCAGCCCAGGCTCCAAGTATCGTAGTCCCTCTCAATACCTCTCCTCTCATTCGCCCAAACCCAAAATCATCAATCCCGCTCGCGCCCAGCCGCATTATCCATCCACTCATCCTCCACTATAGCGTCATCATAATTCTTGGTACCTTTTTTCATTATTCATTATTCATCATTTATCATTTATCATTCATTATTCACAATTCATTTCACAACCATCACTCCCATGAAAATGATGAAAAATTCTCATTCCAATCTCCGATCAATCAACCCCAACCCCAACCCCGATCCCAAGATCTGATCTGATCTAATAGGACAATAACAACCTTGAAATCCTCAAAATTCCAAGTTTATGTTTCTTGGGAAACAAAGCATCAACACCAACATCAACATCAACATAAACATACATCAGCATCGGCAACCAAATATCCGTTTAGCCGTCTTTTCCAGCCCCAAACCCCAGCCACCGCCACAGCCCCAGCCACAGCCGCGAATCTCAAACGCCACTCACTTAATACTAACTACCTAGGTAGAAACAGGAGGGACATCCAGGACATCCAATCACTCAAGCATAAGCTCAAGATAAGTATAAGAATCGAATATACCAAAAGGATAAATCTAGATGAGATCGAAAAAGCTCTTCAATAACGTTACTTTGATACAAATTCAGGGTATTGATGATCTAATTGTGATATCCAATATGGAAAAGAGTGTTCATTCTTGATGTCCCTATTTTTCCTCCTGCTCGAGCAATCTGAGGGTCGGGTGTATTCCTGATTTGTCTGTTCCTCGGCAACTAGATTGCTGCTGGAGGTAAAGATTACATTCTATTGCCACCTGCGTCTTGGTAATGATCCAAGTAGCCGATGCCTGATGCGAGTCCTTTCTTCAAATATCAAATCGGGAAGAGTAATCCAAGAAAAGGTACATGAACATGTAACCAATTACTTAAGAGTTCATCGCCACCAAACGCTTGGTGGTTTCAAAACGTTTCAATCAAATCCGAGAATATCGAGAAAATTCCATTGTTGAGTGTCCGTGAGAGAATTGCAAATGACGCTCCGCTGGCCCTCCGGGGGCCACTGCCGTGGAGGCAGACTATTTGGGTACAATGTAAATGATGTTTATTTAATTATTGGTTTGATATGGAGCAATTCCCTTCTTAATCTCATATACTATCTCCGCCGCTTCATCTGCACTTTTGGCTTCAAAATCATATCGTTTTTCTTCCCGTGATTTGTATACCACAAGCTGTGTTAACATTGTTCATTAGTTTCGGATTGAGGACAGAGATGCTGGATTCTATATAACATACCTTAAAATTGGTCGGGTGTCTTCGTGTTACTTTACAGCCAACCACATTACTAAAATGCACCGTGGTTGTTTTGCCTTGTCCTTCAAACATCGTCTTTCCCGTGGATGCTGGAAGAATATGTAAATATTCTCCATCAATCGCAATCACCCTTTCGTTCATTCCTACAAACCTCATGGGTTGTTTCCTCCATACTATATACCTTCGATAATTGGCACTTCCAAGTTCATCTTGTTTGACACTCTCCATGAGAGGATGTGGTACTAACATTTGAGTTCCCTTGCGAGCTTTGCGAGGATCGGGTCGATCTACCATTAATGAATTGGGTGTACTACTTGATGGTGAACCAGTCATCGTTAATGGTCCATCCGTAGCAAAACGTCGCCGGTACAAATCAAGTTCTGATGAATTGCCAATTGATCCTACTGTGCGATCAAGATAAACGACAGTCCCAGATCCGGTCAGTTTGAGAACGTGTCCTGCCTTGTCCAGTTGTCTCTTCTTACAAACCGTATCGAGGACATCAGCCAAGTAAGTATCGGTTGTGACTTCCAGAGCGACCATCTGTCCAGGTGTAGCATTATTTGAATGAATATGAATACTCAAGATCTTTTTTGTACCACCACCTCGCGAAGTAGGTTGAGTGAGAGCTGTTCCAATTGTAGGTGCATCTGCTAATGTGGAATTTTTTCGTAATGCAGTCATAGTTGTAAGAAGAGGATTTTGATAAGGTTGTGTACCAAGAGGAAATGAAGTATTAGCTTTGGGTGTATTGATAGGAGTAAAATCTTCTTCCGTTTCAGATGAGGCAACCGCCTCTTGTTTGAATTGAGGGGTAAGTCTCTGATTTTCTTCAAATTGTTCATCGGTAGCTTCAACCAAAGCAAACTCGTCAAAAGTTTTGGAATTTGATCTCGCTCTTGGCCCAGCTTTATTGTTGGCAAACGTAAATGATGTAACTGGCTTGAGACGATCAAGAGGTGGGAAGTCAGTATCTACTTCCCCATCATCAACCATCCTTAAGATCCATCGATTGACATTCAATTTTTCGGGGGCTATGGTAGGTTCTAACTTTTCATCAAAATACCTCCATAGACTCAACCCGATCAAATCAGTAATGACCACGGGTCGATTATGTGATTCATCTTCATGAACAGTTCTTCGAATCAAAACCTCGTAAGGCTTCTTGGTTGAAGTAGCAAATGGTGCCAATATACGAATATTGATAGGGTTTGGATCACCTTGTCCAGAGAGAGATGCAAAGTTTTCGAATGGCATATTAGCTTTCGTTCGCTTAGCCGTAATCATTGCGGTCAACAAACTCTTAGGCTGTATCATACTGATTGGACGAGGAGGTGGTAGGGCTTGAAGTACTGGGGGAGCTGGCTTGGA